AGGGATAAGCAGCAAAAAAAAAAAAAAAAAAACGGCAAGGTAAACAATGCAAATGTTGCGATCAATATATAAGACCACAGGGCCCTGCGATCTTTCATTAAATAAATATATATTAATTTATTAATTTACTGAAATATGTCAGTAAATATATAAATAAATACATTAATTCTATGAATAAGTAAACCAATAAATAAACCATGTAATGTGTCAATAAATAAATAAACCATAAAATATGCTTATAAAATGAATAAATATATATTTCAATAAACAAATAATCATGTCAAAAGATACATAAATATATGACAATGTAAATAATTTTAAAGTTATATATATATATATATAATTCATGAAATGTGTCAGTAAATAAATCAATATATTAATTTATTTAATGAATATGCATATAAAATAAATACACAACATGTAATTTTTATTACATCATTACATTATAATAATTATTTTTTATTGAAACCTAGAATGGCAAGTATATTGGTGCTTTTAATGAAAGATGTATTTATTTGTTTATATGGCACTCATGTTCTTCTATATTTAAAATAATAATAATAATAAATTAAGAAATAATTCTCTTTAACTTTAATGAATATGAGGGAAAACAAAGTGCTGGTATTTGTATTATAGTATTCAGACTGTTTTTAGCATTTGAGCACTTAACTGATCAGCCTCCGAATGTTATGGTAAATTGGACATGGCGCACAGTCAAAACAGGGATTCAAAAACTGATCTAATCAGAAAAACAGTCATGAACAATTGTTTGGCCAAAATCATGCGAAACGGTGGGCGTATTCCATCTGCTTTGAGTGCATGTGCACACGTGTGTGTGAATGTATGTGTGTGTAATTAGATTTTTTTCTATGGTGTTTTACCAAGGAAATCCCTCAGAGGGAAAAAGCAAATGTGGGGGAAACTACCCAAACATATTAGAAATATATATCATACAGCGCCCTCTGGTGGTAACAAACGGCTTAAATAGACGCATCAGTTTCTCTTTTGTTTTTGTGGTCATTATGACAGCAGTCTTGGACTTTAAACGGACCCCTTCTCCCCACTGTTCACCCATTAGAACCAGCTTCCATCAATGCAACTCACCATATTCTCCAAACATCAGCAGTGTTAGCTGTTTGTGTTCCACTATCTTGGAAACAACCTTCACCCCCACCCAGATCACCAGCATTCCCAATGTGGCATCCAACAGGAAGTTCAACAGATATCTGTAAAAACAGAAAAGGGCCATTTGATTGGTTTAATGCCAGGTTAAAGCAATAAACTTGACAAATAATTAGGCTACTAATTGACTAACAGAGAACAGGGATCTTCATTGGTGAGTGTGGACAAGAAAATATTGGCAAAATGCATGAAAAGAGCTCCAATGGCCTGCTTTGACGTATCAAAGAACCTGGAGGGGAAAAAAGAATGAGAGTTTGCTCTCTTTTGTTCTATTATTTTACCATAATTCTTGACTAATGTTTAATATTATTACCAGATCCTCCACGATCTTCTTATTCCGACAGGTTCACGAAACCGCTTTACTGTAAAGACAAAGATGTAGAGAAATAATCTTATTGGTAAGATTTTTTGTTTTGTTTTTGGAAAAAGTTTCTTATGCTAACCAAGGCTGCATTTATTTGATCAAAAACACAACAGTAATAGTAATATTGTGAAATACTATTACAATTTAAAATAACAGTTCTAGGTTTGAATAGGGTGACCATACGTCCTCTTTTCCCCGGACATGTCCTCTTTTTGGACCTGGAAAAATGCGTCCGGCCAGGATTTCTTAATCGCCCAAAATGTCCGGGATTCGGCTGTTTTCTTAGTCCCGCGATTTTCGCGTCCACTCCTTTAAACATTCTAATATTGTATAATTTTAGCGTGTCAGAGACCCGCTCTCAATATGTGGAGTATTTAAATCTCTTTTGAATGAGCGTTTGCGCTGTTCACTTTCGATTTCGCGATCACGCGCACTCTGTGTAAAGGAAGCACATCTTACAAGATCAGATATTTGTCAATGAGCTCAGGATCTGTTGAGCAGCAAATACTCCAGCATGGTCTTGTCAGTCATCTCTCCTTATTCTTGACCTGTGATCAGTCAGATCTGACTCCGGAAGCTCTTGTTGGATGTAGGGTTGCCAGGTCCGCGTTTTTTCCACAGAATTGGGCTACTTTTAAACTGTTGCCATGGGTTGATTTTCCCAAGTGGGTTAAAGATTTGAAGCGATCACACGCACTCTGTGTAAAGGGAGCACATCTTACAAGATCAGATTTTTGTCAATGAGCTCAGGATCTGTTGAGCAGCAAATACTCCAGCATGGTCTTGTCAGTCATCTCTCCTTATTCTTGACCTGTGATCAGTCAGATCTGACTCCGGAAGCTCTTGTTGGATGTAGGGTTGCCAGGTCCGCGTTTTTTCCACAGAATTGGGCTACTTTTAAACTGTTGCCATGGGTTGATTTTCCCAAGTGGGTTAAAGATTTGAAATATTACATGAATTACATATAAATTAAATGCTTGTATTGAAACATTTAAAACACATCTCTTTCATCTTCATTTGACCCTCTAACTCTAGCACTCTCTATTCTAATTCTATTTTAACTATTTGTTTTATTTAAAATGAAAAAAAGAGTATTTAACACTAGCATTCTCTATTCTTTGTCTATTTTTTCTACTTATTTTCTTTTTATTTATTATAAATAATGACCTTCTAACACTAGCATTATCTATTCTTTTTCTGTTCTATTGACTTGTTTTATTTTTATTTAAAAAATGACCCTCTAACACTAGCATTCTTCTTCTATTCTATCTACTTGTTTTCTTTTTTATTTATTATAAAAACAAAACAAGCAAACAAACAAAAAAGACTTTGCTACATATACTGTGCTAGGCAAACCCCGCGCCCCGCCCCCGAACCCCAACCCCACTGTCCTCTTTTTGGAAAACTAAAATATGGTCACCCTAGGTTTGAATATATTTTGAACTGTAATTTATTGCTGTGATCAAAGCTGAATTTTCAGCATCATTACTCCAGTCTTCAGTGTCACATGATCCTTCAGAAATTATTCTAATACGCTGATTTGCTGCTCAACAAACATTTCTGAATATTATCAATGTTGAAAACAGTTTTTGCTGCTTAACATTTTTATGGAAACAATGCTACCTTCAAACATTTGTGGTAAGTTCAAAAAAGAGAGAAATACAAGAATACTTGTATTAATCAATGGTACATTAAATTGATCAAAAGTAATAGTGAAGACATTTATAATGTTGGAAAAGATTTCTATTTACTAAGGACTGTGAAAGTGGGAACCACCAGTGGAAGGCATGCTGTCCTAATACTAACCAATCAGAGCTCAGGTACCACCCAAAATGCTGCAATAACCATTCAGAGATATTATATATAATGATGATTGCAGTGAATTTAAAAATATGATCGATCGTCGCTGTCAAGTCTGAGTACTCTAGTACTCACATCCTTATTAAACACACAAACACATTTAGTAAAGTATGATGTACACCGCATTGATGTGTACTGTAAATTAGGGCTGCACGATTAATCGAATGCGATTGTTATGCGCATTTTGATAGTAATGCCGGTTCTGTAATCAGCAG